TTCCCGCCAACCTAATATATAGTAGGATTCTAATTCAAGTGACGTTAAAGGGACGCGTGTCCCACAACGAAGTGGACGACTTGCACCCGTAAAACTCGTCCGGCATTTTTCCGGGTGTAGATTTAGGCGACAGTTTATTCAGCTTCTGCTGCTTCAGTTTTCGGAATTTGGGTAAGAACCTCGACTTGTTCAGAAAATGACACCCAAAGGAACTAGGTTGAGCGAAAAGTCCAGCGACACTTTGAACGAAGTTTCAGACGTCTACATAACGGAGCCTTCGAATAGCAATGCAATCACCATTAGTAAACGGGACTCGTGCCCCATCGGTTAGGCAGGGCCGCAATCTTGCTCTCGCGCAAATGCTGCGACAACGATGAGAATAAATTGTCGATTTTATTTTCACACCAACGTTGATTACCATATTTTTTTTGTTTTCTGCATTAGAAACCCGAAAAGGTGATACCCAGAGGGTAATGAATGTGGTAAATAAGCAGGCTTTGGCCATATTCCTAAGCGGAGAAAATAGTTTTTTGATGTGTCACTCTCACCTAGTGTGAGTACACGCTGTCGCGGAGTAGAAAGAAACTACGAACTCCTGGGATGAATTCGAGCGTCATAGACTAGGGCGGTCACTTCTGTATCAGGATCTGGTGGCACCGCTTCGAAACCCAACTATTTTAGCTCTGCAAGCAGCTTTCCCCTTTGAGAGATACTTCCGAGCTTATCTGTACAGTACCACGTAAGGGACCCAGCTTTGACAATAATCTCCTACTTTTTCAAAAATGCCTGCAAAGGGCCTGCGATGGAAAAGAAGCTTGGTAACAGTCCTAAGGGTGCATCCTAGAGTTGTTGCCAAGTCGCTGGAGCCTCTGGCTGTTGAGTGAACAGTCGGTAATTCCTCGGCAGTGGTCGACCATTATGTGGTCTAGCTGTCAGGAATATCTTCAGATGCCCAGTGCTAGTACCAACGAGATATTGAGACACGGTGAAGGTCAGCCTTTATGAATACGCGGGCACTAGCTCCGTCAATATCAGCAGCGCAGCCAGGGCACGCCATTGCGTTGTGATCATTTCCTGAAAAATACGACCCCCCCTATATCCATCTTCAAGTACGACCCCCCTCCCGGGGGGGGGAGGTCGCAGTACCACGTACGTCCCAAGCACGTCCAGCACTCTGGCGCTGGTGTAGCATACTGACAATACGTACGAGGAAGGGGCGATGATAGGAGCTACGATCACCGCCCACAAGGGCACCATGAATTTATAAACAAACAAAAGGACTCACGACGTGACGATTAATTCCCGGACTTATCTGATCGTAGGAGCACATGTGCTTGCACTTGGGAAGCCCTAT